TGGACGTTTGAACGGTGCGTGAATTTTTTTCATGATAGGTCGCACATCACCTTTGATAGGTTGTTTCGCCTGCATGGTGGGACACAATGAAATAGGAGATAAAACAAGCTCAGTGAATTTGAATACCACCGACCAGTAATTGCACGTCAAGTCAAGGACCCACTGTGAAGGTTGTGGGATACATATGAAATAGAGGCCTGCACGTCCGCCCCCCAGAAAAGTTAGTACGAATACAGCCTTTTCGAGAATCCCATGAAGTTGGCACTCCGGGCCTCCATGTGTGACGTGGGTTCGGGATGTAGTAGGGGGTGTGGATGGTGACATGGTATTCCTTGAAAGATGGTGTAGAGCAATGGGGATGAGAGGTGGAACAATCCGTTCTTCAGAAGTTTGGCGAGATGGCGTTGACTGAGATGGCATGGGTCTTGGAGGGGCTGATACAGTGGGCACGAATACTGATGGGGCTTCATCCGCATGTTGCACTGATGGCGGGGCTGATTCAGGTGCCACATCACTTGGAGCAAGGTCATCAGAACCGAGCCCTACATCACGCCATTCAGTCATTATTTTATCTATCCACCCTTAGTTCGTCGCCTCCAGTATCTGCTCCTTACTCCCACGTCGTACCCTGGTCGTTTTCTGAAACCGTGTCTTGATTGCCACTACGACGCGATCCACGGTATGGTTCCAATGCAACACTGAGAGTCCGATTCTCACTAGCTTACTCCTTTGGAAGCGAATACGTTTCGGAGCATACTTGATCACGAGGCTATGGAACGACTCGTTTAGCCAGTTAGACGCCCCATCCACATAGGCCTCCATCTCTTTTGGGCCACAGTTGACCTCCAACCATTCTCGCAAAGCCAAGTGGGCAGCTGAGTTTGGTTCCTAAACAGCACTCAGGACCCCATTTTACAGACACACATTTGGGAATTTCAGCCCCACTCCCACATTCAGGGGCACGCGCGACATAGCAGCCCCGAGGGGCATGCGCGATATTAGGGCCCCACGTGCGGGTCCAGATACACTCGAGATTCTCCCTTGACCAACGCGAGAAAGAGCCTCTCATGAAATATGAGAGGCTCATGGGACTTTCATAGGTGTCATGGGAGCTTCATTTGAGCTTCATGAGAGCTATGAAACACAACACAAAAATGACAAACACAAAATGCAATAACAAACGCGCACAGAACACACACAAAATGCAAAATGAGATGCGCACAAACAAAATGCAAAACGCACAAATACGCAACCCGCACACAACAAATTGCATTCAAACAAAAACACCTCACTTTTCCTCACCGTTAGCGAATAGGCGGTAGGTTGTCGTCCAAACCATGCATTGCACTTAACAACGCGCACAACGCGCATCCCACCACGTTTCAACCGGGTCATGTGCGTTCTAAGCCTTTTTTGCTCGAAAAGGCGATTCAATCCGCCCCGGTGTAGAAAATTATCGTACCCCCTTATGCCATTGAGGATGGTTTCAGCAAACGCGCACAAACGCACGTCCCACCCCCTTTCGAGTGGGCCCATCCTGAGCCTTTTGAGCCATTTTTTCTCAAAAAGGCAAATAAATCTGCGATGGTGTAGAAAATTGCGAATCGTCAGGTGATTTTTTTGCACGATCCTGCTCGTCATACCCTCACACGCCATTCAGGATGGTTTCAGCTCCAAAAGCGCACAAACACGCGTCCCACTTCCTTTTCGAACGTTCCCGTTCTCGGAAACGCGAATCTGGTGTGAGTTTTGGACCATGGACCCAAGGTCTGACTTCTTGAACAGAGTGAGAGCCTCATAATCTTAAAGCCCGCGGTGTAAATTGCAGGGCACGCAGGTCAAGTTTTTAAACTTGACGCAGAGGAGTGTGCAAGATTTGAAAAGTGGCGCACCTGCAATTTGGGACTTTCGAAGACTGACTCACCCACCAATCTGTTGACCTTGGATCCAAAACTCACACCAGAAAAGCGCTCCGCTTTCGTCCTCTTCCCTTTCCACATGGGAAAACTGACCCGCATATCGTCCATTGTACTCTTATTCTTCATCATAATTCTCAGGGTCGGCGTTCACAACTCCATCTCCCCTTTCTTCGATTGTATTGTATTTGAACAACGGTTTCTTACATTTTTTGCAGTGCCAGCAATGTCCTTGCATCCGTGTATTACGCTCCTTGTTCACATAGCCTTCTCGATTCACTCCTCCGCCACGACCATACGCTTTTCCAGGCTGCTCTTGATGATAGTCGTCATTCACATTTCCTGACCAAGGCTTTTCAATACCCCTTCCCCTTCTGCTCCCTTGCATGGCATACACGCTACTCCATTCGTTTCCTCTCAGCTATAGGCACCGATTGTTCAGCACTCCCATTCCAGGGTCCAAAGGGTCTGGTCTTAAAGCTCGCGGCCCAAATTTTGGGGCGCGCTGGCCAAGCTTACTAAGGTTGACGGGGGTGATGTTTTTAGTGCTGTTTGGGTTGCGAAGGGTGGTTACGAGAAGTGAGATGCAATCTGATTGGCCAGATATTTTTTGTCGAATGGGAGAGCAGGGAACAACAACAATTTGTTGATTGCAATTTGGGACTCTCGAAGCAAACTCAGGTTGCTCCCAGCGGTTTGCCGTGTCAACGAAAGCCCCAAGGGTCTAGCGCGAAACTGGGCGAAAGCAAACAGCCCAACACCCAACAAGTCAACTTCTTCTCTCGCCACCCAAAGGTCAACCTTACTAAGGTTGAACAATTTGGGCCGCGAGCTTTAAGTCAGACTCACACCGCTAGTAACTGCAATCAGGGCTCTAGTAGAAGATGTTGACGGGAAATGCCCCCCCCTCCCCCCCTTTTTTGGGCGAAGCTGACTGCGGCGGTGCTGAAGTGAACGGTAGCGGCGGCGGCAGTGGCAGTAGCTATAGGAGCTGCGAAAATAGTAGCTGCAGTAGCGGTGGCGGCGGCGGTAGTAGCTGCAGTAGCAGCGGTAGCGGCAGTAACGGGGCGGCGGAAACAGGGCCCGCAGGGGCCTATAAAGCGCGACGAGAAAGGGGGCGCGGGGGGGCTTTAAAGGGCGACGAAACGGGGCAGCGGGGAGGCCTGACAAACTGGGGCGCGTAGGGGCGCGCGCTTTGGCAATGAGATTAGGGCAGGCTAGGTTCGGGCTAGGCAGGCACTGCTGAAGCTAAGAAATATCGACCTAAGCCTACAACATGTCAAAGTATCGAGCGAAAGGATTCATTAAGGTAAGATCGAGGGTACACGAGAACAAAGTGTTATCCCCTATGAAACCAACCATGTTCTAACCTATACAAGCTACGATAAACACCAATAAGGCACTACAATATGTACAAAGTCAGGCGTACAACAATGTACCTTCAACCCCTTCGTGAATGTGGCATAACATCTTTCTTCCCTGCACCGTCATCTTTTGGCTGCTGCTGTCTCACATCTCGCTTTGCAGCTCCGATTTCGCTCTCATTGACTTTTGCACCAAACTCTATTGCTTTGTATGCTTCATTGACATTCGAAATGTCGGGCGAGACAGTGAGCAGCATCAGCACACGTGCATTGCCCTCAATGTACCTCTGCACCATAAAGGAAAATCAGAGAAAGAAAAATCAGGTAACATAGAAATACATCTCATATATAAGCAGCTACCACAAAACTTCATACCTCCAGCAATTTGGTCAGCATGTGGTTGTGGTAGACTGAAAGATCTCCACGAGCCTTCGCCTCTAGAACTTGTCTCGGATATGTCAAGCTTAGATTGATTTCCTGGAGGGGTTGTAGAATGCAGGGAAATCTTTGTATAGCATGAAAAGACAGTGTGGGGACATGCTGTGAAATACTATATTTCAATATTAAGCAATTCCACTGGCAGAGACACACACTGAGGGAGTTGCAGAGACACAAAAAAAGAGAGCTGCAGAGACAGAAGTCGAGGCAGAGGAAGAGTGGGGCATAGGCAAGGCAGGCATAGGCACAGGCAGACCGAGGCAGCAGCACACAGAGACAGTGGCAGAGGCAGGCCGCTCGGAGCGGCGCGCACAAGCAAGGCAGCCCACGGCGTGCACAAGGAACCAGCCAGCCCGCGGCAAAGACACGGGCGAAAGCAGATGCAGACACAAATGTGGAGGCAGAGGAAGAGGTGGAGGGAGGCGGATGCAGAGGCATGGACAGAGGCAGAGAAGAAAACAGAGACAGAGGGAGCCGCAGAGGCAGGGGAAGAGGCAAAAGCAGAGGGAGGCGGCGACAGAGGCACTGACAAAGACAGAGACAGTGGGAGCTGCAGAGGCAGAGGAAGAGACAAACACACAAGGAGTTGCAAAAGTAAAGGCATAGGCAAAGGCTAAAGTAGGGGCAAAGAGTGTAATAGAGAGAGTGAGAGAGGAAGGGAAGGGAACATGAGAGGCAATTATAGCAGATGATTAGTTTTCACTTACAGTGGCCTCTCCCTGTGTTACACCATGCGCCTTTAACGTCTAAATGTTCTCGCTACCAGCCAAATCGACCAGCTTGAGAGTACCGTGTGCCTTTATGTTAGTGTTCTACAAATAAGCCGAAGAGGCGATTAAAAAGAAGTTATGAAATCCACTTGCTATTGTGATGAAGCTTATGCATTAAAAGTTTATGCATATCTTGTTTGCGCCAATCAAGTTAACCGTAAAGATCACATGACTTCGAGAAAACTTTGAATCCGCTGCAGTTGCTGCAACATTTCTGTAAAAGATAAAACAGTAAGATAAGTACCTCACTTGGCATAGTAGTGAAAAACAAAAATAGAGAACTAACAGCACCTCTTGGTGCATCCAAAGGCGATAACTTCATTCGCCCGTTCCACGGACGAAAGAGAAACCATGTTGAGCCCAACGAGGACAGGCGCATCGTCCCCTTGATAGCGTATCTCAAGAGGCTTCATAACAGTTCTGCTACTTCCAGCTTGAGCAGAATCGCCTCCCTCACCGAAACCCTTCAAGAGATTGTAGACGCGTTTTTCATAGACTTGGACCAGTGAAACCTATGCAAGTAATGGAAGATTTGGAAGGAGACATGGGGAAAACGGCATGGCTGAGGGAGACATGGGCAGAACGGGGTGGCTGAGAAGAGATGCGCATAAGATCGTGGAAGAGGGGTATGGGCAGAATGAGGTGGCTGAGAAGACAAGCGCACAAGGGCGTGGAAGAGGGGCACATGGGCAGAACGGGGTGGCGCGGGGGGGTGCGGGAAGCACGTTGCCGCGGGGGGGTGCGGGGAAGCACGTTGCCGCGGGGGGGTGCGGGGAAGCACGTTGCCGCGGGGGGGTGCGGGGAAGCACGTTGCCGCGGGGGGGTGCGGGGAAGCACGTTGCCGCGGGGGGGTGCGGGGAAGCACGTTGCCGCGGGGGGGTGCGGGGAAGCACGTTGCCGCGGGGGGGGTGCGGGGAAGCACGTTGCCGCGGGGGGGTGCGGGGAAGCACGTTGCCGCGGGGGGGTGCGGGGAAGCACGTTGCCGCGGGGGGGTGCGGGGAAGCACGTTGCCGCGGGGGGGTGCGGGGAAGCACGTTGCCGCGGGGGGGTGCGGGGAAGCACGTTGCCGCGGGGGGGTGCGGGGAAGCACGTTGCCGCGGGGGGGTGCGGGGAAGCACGTTGCCGCGGGGGGGTGCGGGGAAGCACGTTGCCGCGGGGGGGTGCGGGGAAGCACGTTGCCGCGGGGGGGGGCGGGGAAGCACGTTGCCGCGGGGGGGTGCGGGGAAGCACGTTGCCGCGGGGGGGGGCGGGGAAGCACGTTGCCGCGGGGGGGTGCGGGGAAGCACGTTGCCGCGGGGGGGTGCGGGGAAGCACGTTGCCGCGGGGGGGTGCGGGGAAGCACGTTGCCGCGGGGGGGGGGGGGGGGAAGCACGTTGCCGCGGGGGGGTGCGGGGAAGCACGTTGCCGCGGGGGGGGGCGGGGAAGCACGTTGCCGCGGGGGGGGGCGGGGAAGCACGTTGCCGCGGGGGGGGGGCGGGGAAGCACGTTGCTGCGGGGGGGGGCGGGGAAGCACGTTGCCGCGGGGGGGGGGCGGGGAAGCACGTTGCCGCGGGGGGGGGCGGGGAAGCACGTTGCCGCGGGGGGGGGCGGGGAAGCACGTTGCCGCGGGGGGTGGGCGGGGAAGCACGTTGCCGCGGGGGGGTGCGGGGAAGCACGTTGCCGCGGGGGGGTGCGGGGAAGCACGTTGCCGCCCCCAACGCGTAACGAGGCCTGCGCAGAAGTTCAACCATATTTTATTATTCACATCATCTCTACAAACTCACCTGGATGGTGTAACACCAGCCGGTTGCCGTCCTCTCCTGCACGATACTAAAGATTTCCTCCACGGCTCTCGGAATGATCCCGCGAAGCTCTGTGTCCCTCGTAGATCCGAACATGGTGAACGTTTTGCCCGTCCCAGTCGGGCCGTAGGCAGAAAAACGTGGCTATTGGGGATGCGGGAAAAACGTGATTGCGGGGGGATGCGGGCACAACGGGATCGCTGAGGGAAACATGGGCACAACGGGTGACATGGAAGGAGTCACCCTTCACCGCTCAAGGAGTCGGCCTTTACCGCGCAACAAGCTAACCCCGACCGCGTAACGAGGCCTGCGCAGAAGTTCAACCATATTTTATTATTCACATCATCTCTACAAACTCACCTGGATGGTGTAACACCAGCCGGTTGCCGTCCTCTCCTGCACGATACTAAAGATTTCCTCCACGGCTCTCGGAATGATCCCGCGAAGCTCAGTGTCCCTCGTAGATCCGAACATGGTGAACGTTTTGCCCGTCCCAGTCGGGCCGTAGGCAAAAATGCAAACCTGTAAAACAACAACAAGCTTGGTAAATAAATAATTCATGATAACACGAACAATAAAATCATTATATTACCTTATAACCATCAATGACGCTCTTGATAAGCTCCGAGATATATTTAAAGACGTCTTCCTGGCTTGTTGTCTCTGAGAAAACCTTGTTTAGCTTGAAAATTTGTTCATAACCTAATTAAAAAGACAAGCAGATATGAGTACATGAGATGAAATGAAACTTGCAAATAAAGTAGCATAACAAAAGGAAGCACATTGGAAAACAGCACATTGCACATGAAACTTACGTACCTTGAATCGAAAGCACATTGTCCTCAAGGATATGTACTCCCTTTGCTTCACTCGGCGGGCAAATACGACACGCCACGTTGATAATCCCCTTTAACAGCTGCCATAGAATTTATGCTAGATGAGGATTCATTTTGGACCTAATCTTAAGAAAACAAACAAGAGCTCACCATTAATTTGTTGCTGAGATCTTTATTTCGGTCCTCCAGCTTTTGATTCACCTGAATCAAGGAGCGATTAAACTGTTGTTCCTTATCCAACTCAGCCCGTAACCTTACAATCTCGGTTGCTTGATCCGCAGAGCTGCTAGAAACACCCTGGGATAATCCCCCAGCCTCTCCCACTTCCCTTCCACCTTTGTAGGTGGCGACGGCCAGACGAAACTCTTCACCTCCCATAACCTCAAAGGTGAAAGCAAAATGAAACCAGGCTCGAATTTCGAGCGCTAGAGTAACAGCCCCCTCGGGGGTGCATTCATACTTCACAACCTCATCAGGCCGTGCTGTGAAAATTCACAGAATTGTGAAACACGTACACACCATTTTCGTTCACCCCAACAAAGAAGTTCGCTCCAGTTGGATCCAACAACAAACCTTCAGTTTGTTTTGCTGAATACCTCTGCGGACACTCGTACTTGTTCTCACTGACTAATTTGGAGCGCTCCATGATAGCGGTTTCTGGGGAGAAGTGTTTTTTCTGAAATAACAACACAAACAGAAACGAATCATTAAAGGGTGGAAATGAACAATTGTACAAAGTTCCAGTAGCGATGCATCATACACAATCCACTGATACTTACAAGTTCACGGTATCTGACGTTCACGTCGTATAACCACTCCCTTTTGCTCTTCAGCTTGTAAAAGGGCGTTGGAATTATCTTCTCCACAAGGGTTGACAATTTTTCACTGGGGGGGGAAGAAAAAAATACAATCGAGATAGAACAACAGAGGGGGGGGGGGGGGGGATTGTACGTGGTCAGCTCGCACAAAAGCCCCCAGCCAGCCCCTGCCGTGCAAGGAAATCCCAAGGCGCAAGGAGCCAACCCCCAAGAGACGAGGGACTTAAGCAAGCGGCAAAAACTTACGTGGGAAGGGACTTCACAATCATGTGGAGAGCGATCATCTGAATGATTTCATCCGTTGACATGGTGACGCGGCCCTCTGCGTAATCCTCCATCATGTCCGTTTGAGCGTCAGTAGTTGCACTAAGACGAGAAGAGCGAAGCGTGGTTAATGTAACACAAAGAGGGGAGTAGGAGAGCGGGCTGACTTAACACGTGTTAAGGAGATGGAGCTGAGAACGCTGGTGCAGCACCAGAGGATATGAAGCACTACTAGTGAGGAGATTTGAAGATCACCACAGAGAGAGAATATGTTGAAAATACCGGAGAAATCTGGAACGTCGGGACGCGGAAGTACAAGAGCGTGCTCTAATGCGTACCACCCTAGGGAGCAAGACATGCAAACCTCGGTGGGGACAGTTGTGACGTCGCGCTTCGAGAAGCCTTCTAGGTTTCCCATCATGTTCTGTTTCGCCAGCTGGGGTATTATTCTCTGTGAGAGGTTTGGGACATTTTGCTGAAGGGACCACTGTCATGCAAAGCACATTGGCTTGGGCGACCTCTTTCAAACGAAAGCACAACAGCTAAAGTGACCGCTTTCGCGCTGGTTCGCTGAAGCCGTCGAAACGGTCGCGACCATTGATTGGCTCGGAACCAATCAAGAATCACCTCAAAGAGCACAGTCAATTGAAAGTGTTACCCGTTTTCTGGTTGTCGCAAAGGCGAGCAACCAATCAAATGAAACGAAAAACATTCGGGTGTGGGGAACAAACCAATAGCGACATTTCACGGATTTGGGAAGATCAGGAATTGCTTGGCATTGGGACTTGGTGACGAGCACTCAACTTATCAGTGAAAACTCCCAAATCACCTCGTGCCCGAGCATTAGTAGTTCTCTCACCACTAGTAAGGACTCTCGTGCTTCCATTGACCTTTGAGAAAACACGAGGCAGACAGACGTGAGCGATTAGCGAAAATCACGCGACGCGAGGACCGGAGAGAGCATAGATGTAGGCACGAATGGATGGTGATGGTAAGGTTTGTTTAGTCGTGCTTCTCACACGCCGTCCGTAAAAAGGCGGAATATCAGTCGAAGCGAGCATGGCTGTGAGCATCAAATTAGGCGCGATGAGGGAGGATGGAAGCGGGAGATTGAGAAAGAAGAATGGTGAGAAATCGACGATGTTAGCAGGGAGAACGGCGCGTGGCGCGGACGGGAGTAAGCAAGAACGAACGGCGAGAGCCAGACGGCGTTTGAGCGGCGATAACGGCGCGCGGCGCGCGGACGGGTATGAGCAGCGTGTAAGGCGCGAGCAAGCGAATCACGCGCAACTGACGGTGTGATTTTCTTGAGCGATTTATAAGGATTCTCACCATTCCCTTGATAGGCACGCGCAAGCCGGTCACTCGTGACGGACTGTCTGTGACAAACAGCGAGAGGCGCGTGACCGTCCGCCCGCGCCCACTGCCTATCTCGCCCGTCACGCGCGCAAGCAGGTCACACGTGACGGACTGTCTGTGAGCAGCGAGATCGGTGGTGGGCGCGGGGGAAAGGGGGGTGCTACAACGGCGCAAGGCGCGTAGTACGGGAGCACGCAGCGCGAGAAGGCGTGAAAGGGAATGGGAGTGAGCAGAGAGAGAAGGCGCGACGGGGACGGGTGTGAGCAAGTATAAGGCTCTCATTGCCCTCCCTTCCCCTCACATTGCCCGCCCTTCCCCCTCTCACATTGCCCGCCCTTCCCCTTCACATTGCCCGCCCTTCCCCCTCACATTGCCCGCCCTTCCCCCTGACACAGCTCGCCCTCCCCCCTCTTATTGCCCTCCCCCCTCTCATTGCCCTCCCCCTCCCCTCACATTGCCGGCCTCCTCACTTTCATCCCTGTTCAGCTTCCCATCATGTGTTTCCCCACTGCTTATCCTGTGTTTCCCATCATGTGTTTCCCCACTGCTTACCCTGTGTTCCCTAACCCTCTGTTTCCCATCCGATGGGTTTCGTTTTCCATCATGTCTTTCCGTTCCGCCCTGCTTACCCTGTGTTCACCCCCTTACCCTCTGTTTTCCCTCCTTCCTGTTCCCTCCATTCCCACTTGTCAAATTATATGCATGTGTCATAATAACATGTAGGCTTTAGTGGGGTAGCTAATGTAGGGTATAGGTTTTGTTACTTGTACCCAACTTTCTCGATAGTGCACCTCAATCCTTTCCCTTTACTCTCGACATGGTATCAGAGCAACATAGGTCCTTAGGACCGTTTTAGGACTGTTTTTCAGGGCCCAACCGCTGTTTTTCCGCCGGTGGTGCAGCCGCCCCTGGACCCTGGTGCAGCCGCCCCTGGTGCCTCGAGCAGCCGCCCCTGGACCCAGAGCAGCAGCCCCTGGCCCCTGGAGCAGCCGCCCCTGGAGCAGCCGCCCCTGGACCCAGAGCAGCCGCCCCTGGCCCCTCAAGCAGCCGCCCCTGGTGCAGCCGCCCCTGGACTCCGTGCAGCCGCCTCTGGACCCTGCAGCAGCCGCCCCTGGTGCAGCCGCCCCTGGACCCCTGGAGCAGCCGCCCCTGGATCCAGAGCAGCCGGCCCTGCTCGCCCGGCGAGCGACTGCCCTTCCCACCACAGGTGAGCACCTGCCTTGTTCGCGCGCTGCCGCGCCGTTTGCCTGCCTGCCTGCCTGCCTGCCTGCCTGACTGCCTGCCTGCCTGACTGCCTGCCTGCCTGCCCTGCCTGCTCCTGCTACTGCTGCTACTACTGCTACTGCTGCTACTGGCGGTGGCCAGATGCAGCTCCACCGACGTCCGCGTGAGTCTCTCACGCCCCAGCAGCTTCGTGAGTGGTACACTAGTTGGGGTTGTGGAGGTCGCCGTCGGGGCTGTCGCCCTGGAGCTGGTCAGTCGGGAGCGTCTGGCAGTGGCCAACTGCAGCTGCAGCGGCGTCCGCGCGAGACACTTACGCCCCAGCAGCTTCGTGAGTGGTACGCTCAGAGTAGAGGATCTTTGAGTCCAGTTCGCTGCCCGTACGTCATTCGCACAGGTGATCGGGTTGGTCAGGCTTGCGGGACGCCTGGTCACACACAGTCCCGCTGCTTCGCCCGTCTGAGCGACGCCTAGCGTACCGAGTTTGGCGACGAGGCTAAGCTCCCCACCTGGCTGGAGCTGCTTGGACAGAGGGTAGATATCTTTGCTCTTGACTATGATGCTATTCTCACTGCCATGTATGCATTGCCTACTAGTGCTGAACGTGCCTGTTACCTGTGCGTACCGCCTGACCCAGGTATAGAGCTTGCTGCTCTAGGTGCTGGTGAGGCTGCTGCTCTAGGTGCTAGTGCGTCTCCTGCTCTAGGTGCTGGTGAGGCTACTGCTCCAGGTGCTGGTGAGTCTGCTCTCTCTGGTACTACGCCTACTGAGGCCTTGTACACCTTCACACTTGACTCCGGTGCTTCTCGCTCCTTCTTTCGCGACAGCACCACCCTCACGCCGCTCAGTCGGCCGGTTGCAGTCTCCCTAGCAGACCCCTCTGGGGGTCCAGTCCGTGCGACCTCCACCACTGTCCTCCCTTGTCCTGCTGTCCCGTCCGGCACACTGTCGGGTCTTTACCTCCCCTCGTTCTCTACGAACTTGGTGGCGGGTTCTGCGCTCCAGGACGCGGGTGTTCACCAGTTCACCCCTGCCTACGAGCGTGTGACACACTGCACGTGTGCTCAGACGGGTCGTCACCTGGCTACCTTCACTCGGCAGCCGGGGTCGGGCCTGTACACACTGACCACTGAGTCCCCTCAGGTAGCTGCGTCTGCGTCTGCGTCAGGTCAGCTAGCGGCCCCCTGCTCGTGTCGCGCCTTGTCGCACCAGACCCTCCTTTGGCACCACCGCCTTGGTCACCCCTCGGTGCAGCGCCTTCGTAGCATGCACCGCCGTGTCCTTGTCTCTGGTCTTCCCAGGGTTCTCCCTCCCCTCCCACCCTCGCCTGCTCCTCCCTGTCTTCCCTGTGTCGAGGGGCGGCAGCGCGCCGCTCCTCACTCCTCCTCGTTCCCTCCCAAAGAGGCTCCCTTGCAGACTCTCCACCTGGACGTGTGGGGCCCAGCCCGCGTCCGTGGACAGGGCCACGAGCGGTACTTCCTGCTGGTCGTTGACGACTACACACGTTACACCACGGTCTTCCCCTTGCGCACCAAGGGTGAGGTCCCTGATGTTTTGATCCCTTGGATCCGCGCTGCCCGTCTCCAGCTCCGCGAGCGGTTCCAGTCGGACTTTCCTGTCCTGCATCTGCACTCTGACAGAGGTGGTGAGTTCTCCTCAGACCTCTTGGCAGCCTTCTGTGCGGAGCACGGCATCCGCCAGACGTTCACGCTTCCGGCCTCTCCGCAGCAGAATGGGGTTGCTGAGCGCCGCATTGGCTTAGTCATGGAGGTCGCTCGTACCTCCATGATCCATGCGGCTGCCCCCCATTTTCTGTGGCCGTTTGCGGTCCGGTACACTGCGCATCAGCTCAACCTCTGGCCCCGTGTCTCCTTGCCGGAGACTTTGCCCACACTGCTGTGGACGGTGAAGGTTGGCGATGCGTCGCGTTTTCGGGTCTGGGGTGCTCGTGCCTTTGTCCGCGATACCACCGCGGACAAGCTCTCCGCCCGCACTGTTCCCTGTGTCTTCCTTGGCTTTGTCCCTGACGCGCCTGGTTGGCAGTTTTACCACCCCACCTCGCGCCGTGTCTTCCCCTCTCAGGACGTCACGTTCGACGAGTCGGTTCCCTTTTACCGTCTCTTCCCCTACCGCACTGCCCCTCTCCCCCCCCCCGCTGCTCTTCCTCGCTCCAGGAGCTCCCCAGGTAGACCCCCTCCCCGCTCCCGGTCCTGCTCCTTCAGGTGTGTCTCAGGTAGACCCTCCTCCCTTGACTGCGCCGGTTGAGGTCACTGGTGACTCAGGTCCTGCTGAGACTGGTCCTGCTCGGGGTGCTGCTTCTGGGGGTGTTGAGTCTGGGGGTGCGGAGCCTGGGGGTGCTGAGCCTGGAGGTGCGGAGCCTGGGGGTGCGGAGACTGGAGGTGCTGAGCCTGGGCGTGAGGAGTCTGGGGGTGCTGCACCTGGGGGCGTTGAGGCGTCTGGTGAGCAGTCTCCCTGGAGCGACCGTCTGCGTAGTCGCTCCGCTGTTGCCTCACCGCTGCACTCTCGTCGTCGACTCCCTCTCTCCCCACAGCAGCTGCTTGAGTGGTACGTTGGCCGTCAGGGTCGCGCTGCTGGAGTTAGGGGCCCTGCTGCGGGAGGCGCTGGAGCTGGTGACTCTGCTACTGGAGTTGTTTCTGCTGGAGGTTCTGGAGCTGCTGAAGGTGCTGGCGCTGGAGGTTCTGGAGCTGCTAGAGGTGCTGGCGCTGGTGGCGCGGGAGCTGGAGGTTCTGGAGTTGCTGAGGGTGCTGGCGCTGAGGGTTCTGAGTCTGCTGTTGCGCGGTCTCCTTGGAGTAGCCGCCTTCGTCCGCGTGTGCCTCTCACCTCACAGCAGCTGCACGACTGGTACGGTCGCCGTCAGGGTCGCGCTTCTGGAGCTCGGGGCTCTGCCGCTGGAGGTACTTCTGCTGACGTCACTGGAGCTGGGAGTGGTGCTGGTCCCGGAGGTGCTCGTACTGGAGGTACTGGAGCTGCTGGGGCTGGAGGTGCTGAGCCTGAGGGTGCTACTGCTGGAGACCCTGGGACTGGAGGTGCCGGTTCTGGGGGTGCTGCTGCTGGTGGAGCTGGTCCTGGAGGAGCTGGAGCTGAGGGTTCTGGAGCTGCTGGAGGTGCTGGAGCTGCTGAGGGTGCTGGAGCTGTTGGTGCTGGTGGCGCTGCACAGCCGCGCCTGTTCTTTGCTCCACCGTCTCCGTCGTCTCAGCCACCGCTTGACTCTGTGCTTCGCCAGGTTCTTAGTCTCCCTTCGTCTACTGGTCTTCCGTTACAGCCTGGCTCACCGCTGCCTGCTCCTTCTCCTTACACTGAGCGGACAGGGGGTCTTACTGAGCGTCGTGAGCCCGGGTCGCGTCCTGTCTCGCCTGTCCATCCTAGTCGTTCCGGTCGTCGTGTTCCTCGGTCGCGTCAGCTGGCTGTCCCCGGCACCCACCTCGTAGTCCGTCGTCCTTCCTCTCCTCCGCAGCGTGTTCCTTTGCCGTCCCCTCCTGCGTCCTCTCTGCCTACCGTTCCTGAGCCTGAGTCTGACCGCACCCGTGCTGAGCACCCTACTGTCACGCGTCTGCTAGCCACAGTTGTCACTGACCCGTCGTTTGAGTCTGCTACTGCGTCTGCCTTAGTCGCTGAGCTTGTTGACTTTGCTGCTGCCTGTCGTCTAGACTACGCCGCTAGTCTTGTTGCTGAGTCTGAGTCTGTCTGTCCTCCGTCCGTCGGGGGTGAGTGTGCTCTTGGCACGGACGTCCTTGAGGACAGGCAGGAGGACCTTGAGTGTCTTGCAGCCGCTGCGCCTCATCTCGTGTCCATGCTACTTGCCCCTGAGGGAGACACGGATGCTCCAGACATCCCGACCCCGCGCTCTTACGCTGAGGCGATCGCGGGTGAGTACTCCTCTCAGTGGCAGACAGCCATGAACGCAGAGATGGCATCCTGGAAGTCCACAGGCACCTACGTCGACGAAGTTCCCCCTCCTTAGGCGAACATCGTCAGTGGCATGTGGATTTTCAGGGTGAAGCGGCCGCCAGGTTCTCCGCCTGTCTTCAAGGCTCGTTACGTTGCTCGAGGCTTCAGTCAGCGGGAGGGAGTTGACTTCTTCCAGACCTTCTCCCCCACCCCGAAGATGACCACTCTTCGGGTACTGCTGCACGTTGCCGCTCAGCGTGACTACGAGCTTCACTCTCTTGACTTCAGCACAGCTTTCTTACAGGGCATCCTGCACGAGGAGATCTGGCTGTGCCGCCCTCCTGGCTTCACTGGGTCGTTCCCTCCTGGTACCCAGTGGAGCCTCCGGCGGCCGGTCTACGGTCTCCGCCAGGCGCCACGTGAGTGGCACGACACACTGAGGACGACACTTGCTGCTCTTGGGTTTGCTCCGTCGACTGCTGACCCGTCGCTGTTTCTCCGCACCGACACTTCGCTGCCGCCGTTCTACATCCTCGTGTACGTCGACGACTTGGTCTTTGCCACTGCTGACACTGAGGCTCTCGCCCTGGTGAAGTCGGAGCTGCAGAAGAGACACACGTGCACAGACCTGGGTGAGCTACGCAGTTACCTTGGCTTGTAGATCTCCCGGGACAGCACGCCGCACCATCACCCTGACTCAGTCACACATGGTGCAGCAGGTCCTTCAGCGCTTTGGCTTCACCTGGTCCTCGCCACAGCACACTCCTCTGGCTACAGGTCACTCGCTCTCAGCTCCACCTTCGGACGAGTCCGTAGAGCCAAGTGGTCCTTATCCAGAGCTAGTGGGTTGCCTCATGTACCTGATGACCTGCACTCGTCCTGACCTTGCGTTCCCTCTTGGCCTTCTGGCTCACTACGTGGCTCCTGGTCGGCACCGAAAGGTGCACATGGATGCTGCTAAGAGGGTACTACGCTACTTGTGCAGTACATCGGGCATGGGACTCGTGCTTGGAGGGCGGAGCCCAGTTGTCCTCACTGGGCACTCAGACGCTTCTTGGGTTGACGACCAGGCTACGCAGCGGTCGTCACAGGGTTACACCTTCAGCCTTGGCTCTGGCTCAGTTTCTTGGCGTTCTACACGCTCGTCTTCAGTTCTCAGCTCCAGTTGTGAGGCTGAGATCTACGCCACAGCCATGGCTGCATAGGAGTTACGCTGGCTCACCTACCTGCTGACCGACCTGGGAGAGCGGCCTCGTTCTCCTCCAGTGCTGTACGTCGACAACAAGGCAGCCATTGCCTTGTGTGAGGAGCACAGACTGGAGCACAGAACGAAGCACATCGCTCTGCGTTACTTCCTGGCTCGAGAGTTGCAGCAGCGTGGTCAACTTCGTCTTGCTTACGTGCCCACTCGGGCCAATACTGCTGATATATTCACCAAGGCACTTCCGTCTGGTGGTCATCAGCGTTTCTGCACTTTGTTAGGCCTTGTGCCCACTTTTCCTCACTTGCTGTAGACGTTGCGTGTACTGTGATCTATATATATACCTGCATGCTTGCTTGCGTATATACCTCTGCATGTGAACTGGCCTTGTGGCCCTTTGCTTGTGCTCAGTGTGTGTGGTGACGTTGTGATCCACCCTGAGCTTGCTTTGTTTCTCTTGACTGGTCTTGTGACCCCTTGCTCTCCCCCACTTTGCCTATGGGGGTGTGTCAAATTATATGCATGTGTCATAATAACATGTAGGATTTAGTGGGGTAGCTAATGTAGGGTATAGGTTTTGTTACTTGTACCCAACTTTCTCGATAGTGCACCTCAATCCTTTCCCTTTACTCTCGACACCACTCCCAGGCTGTGTTCTGCACTCTTTTTCTACAAGTGAGCAGAGAACCCCACGAAATAGTGGCGAATGTTTGGCACGAGGGCAGAAAGAGGGTTAGTAGGGAGAATGTTGGTGCTCAATGTTGTTACCCATAGGGTATATAGCCCAACCTACTAAATTATCTTGTAGAGAACATCTCAACAGGCTGTGTATTCAAGGTCCTCCGAAGACACAACTTTTCTGTTGGTATGATTGTAATATAGAAAACTTGATGCATACGCCACCCCAACTCTCTCCAATTCCAAGGGACCAATCCCTTGAGATTATTTAGGCTCTTCAGACCCAGCAGCACCTTGACACCCAGCTCATGCAAACCCTAGTCTCTCCAGCCACAGCACCACCTCTCCTTTGCGTTGACGGCCACCACCAGGGTAACTTTTCTTTCTCGCCCCCTTTAACTAGGGGACCTTCCTCGTCAAACACCTCATCCTCTGTGTGGTCCTTCCCCTTGGGGATATTGAGGCTCTTCATCCCCAGCACCTTGGCGTCCAGCTCATGCAACCCCAGCCCCACCACCACCACCACCACCACCACCACCACCACCACCACCACCACCACCACCACCACCACCACCACCACCACCACCACCACCACCTCGCCATAAGTTTAAAGCCCCAGGACGTTGACAAGTTGACACCCAGCAGCACCTTCGCATCAAGGTCATGCAAACCCTAGTCGCTCCACTCCCATCACCACATTCCCCTACCTATCACTAGCCCATGACTAGGGTAACTTCACTTCCCCACACTCTTAATTAGGGAAACTTCCTCATCAAACACCTCGTCTTCTGTGCTGTCCTTCCCCTTGGGGATGTTCGGGCTCTTCAGCCCCAGCACCTTGGCGTCCAGCTCATGCAACCCCAGCCTCTCCACTCCCACCACATCTATCCGCCTCGGGAAACCCGAGGCCCGGGGAGAGGCAGCTGTTGCAGCAGCAGGAGCGGAGGCACGCGGAGGTGCAGATATAGCAGCAGCAGGAGCAGAGGGATGGGGGGATGATGTAGCACCAGGAGCAGGAGCAGCAGCAGGAGCAGGAGAGGAGGAACGGGCAGCAGTAGCAGAAGAGGAAGACGATGACGGGAGGTAAGGGAAGCCTGGGGAAAGAGCGGGGAAGGCAGGGGCAGCACCCGCAGCAACGAGCCTGGGATCCAGAGGGGCCGAGGCCGAGACACCGTACTTGCGCGGTTCCAAGGAGTGGAGATGATTTCCTTGGGTGGCACCATGGGTGGAAATGGTTGTAGCAGCGGGTGCTCCCATGTGTCTGTTGCTGCTGCTGGCGCGTTGTAATGCTGCCATGCCGCCGCCTTCTTGTCTTGCTGCCGCTTGGAGGGATGGAGGCACCAGGCCAGCTGCAGCTGCTGCTGCCGCTGCTGCAACTGCTGGGCCTGCCTGCCCTCGGGAACTCATTTCTGGGGCCTGTGCTTCAGCACTCGTACCACCAGCAGCACCAGCACCAGCAACACCAGCAATACTACCAGCAGCAACGGAGACTGCAGCAGCAGGACCAACCGTGCCTGCATCCGACAAAGCTCCACTTGCCGAGGCTAAACCCATCTCTCACCCCCAACGACCCCACCCTGTCCAGGAAAATCATGACCCCCCACGTTGCTCCTCCTGGGAGAAAAGGGTTTAAGGTTTCCACTGAACCCCCTCCATCCTCCCCCACCCGTGCTATTACGCACGCCAACACCAGCACCGCCGCCGCCAGCAACACCAGCAGCACCAGCACTAGCACTTGTATACACAGAAGCAGCATCACCATCGGCGCCAGGAGCGCAAGAAGCAGTGGAAAAGGCAGGAGGAGCGGGTCGAAGGTCCTCCTTCCCTCCTGACTTTCTCCCCATCCCCAAGCCAGTCGACAGCACTTCCGCTTTAATCCGTGCTGCCGGCATGCGACGTGCAGCAGCAGCAGCATCAGCGTCAGCAGCAGCACTGGCTGTCCCTTCTCGTCCCATTCCTCCTGTACCAGCCAACCCACGATTGTGCCTAGAAGCAAGCACGTGTGCATCCATCATGCACGAGAAGAGGGACGGAAAATTGTACACACACAGATAGGGAAAATTCAGCAAAGCAATCCCACATGTACTAACAGCTTTACTAACATGTAACGAAAATGCAGAAAATAATAATGATTAGCATGTTTTCGTTGAAATCTGGGACACTGTGTTTGGGAAAAGTTGCGAGGGTTTTGGGTTTAGGGAATTTTCAGTGTGTTTTGACGCGATCTTAGCCTGATAAGGGGCCGTAGGAACACGCCCTTAGTATGCTTTGTTGATAAATGTGAGATCTACAGATATTTTAAAACCTACATTTTATGTGTTGTTAAGAAACGCTAGCCTCTCGGGCACTATTAACTAAGCGAGGAGGTCCATACGGGAAAAATAACTAACAGAACCACCTTCCCCTCCCCTCCCGCTCCTGCATGTACCTCTCGCGCCGCGATGACTTGGAGGTTGGAGGCATGAGCTCAGCAGCGACAAAGCAGCCCCCCCAACCCAACCCACAAATCATCCGTTGGTTGCAGCTGCGAAATTCGCCCCCTCTACACTCCTTGGAGCAACGGTTTAGATTAGCCGCTTTCTTGCCAAGAAAGCCCTCGTATATTCTTCACCTTTCTGCATTCAAAATTGTAAACAGCTCGGCTTACTATTCGCCTCCATTGCTTGCTACGCTTTTTTGCTGACAACAGCCTTTATAAGCCGCCGCCATGGCGCCGCCGACCAGCGGGAGTGCGGGCCCGCACCGTCCGCGCGCAGATGGCGCGATAGAACCAGCGCATGCGCGAGACGACCAGATTATAGCGGAACTCCCGCCGCGTCCGGCGAACTTGACGGCGGCGACAGATGCCCCTGCGGTTGCGGCGGCGCAGAAGGCGATCCATTTTTCCGCGGCGGCGCCGGAGGAATTCTATGATGGGGAGGAGGAGGAGGAGGAGGACGGGAGCGAGTTTCTGGAGCGCGCGCGCAGCCACCAGGAGGTGGAGGACGAGCGCGCGTACGAGCCGGAGGAGCAGATCGACGTGTCGCGCTACAGCCTGCCGCTACAGACGCCGGGCGGCAAGGAGGGTGAGGGGTTGGACGGCTGCCCATATTGTCCGCCATAGGCAGGAAACGTTTGAGTTGCTTTGTCTCTTTCCCCAGAGCTGCCTTCCTTGGCTCTCCCCTCCCCTTGCTCTCTCCTCCCCATGCTCTCCCCTCCCCCTACCCTGCCCTCCCCCTGCTCCGCCTTCCCCGTGCTCTCCCCCCCCCTTGCCCCCCTTCCTATGCGCCTGGACCCACTACACCCTGTCCCCCATACAGACTCGTGTTGCTTCTCGTACCCCTGTCCATGCACCCTTCCGCTACTACACCCCATCCCCGATACAGACACGTTCCGGTTCTCGTGGCGGCGCTTCTGCATCTTTGTGGGTCCGGGCTTCCTCATGAGTATCGCGTACCTTGACCCGGGCAACCTTGAGAGTGATTTGCAGGTGAGGGTGGAGGGCAGACGGGTGCTGCACAAGTAGTTGACTCGTCGGATGAGTTAGGGGGAGGGGAGGGGGGGCAGTCAAGTGGCTTCCTCATGAGCATCGCGTACCTGGACCCGGGCAACCTCGAGAGTGATTTGCAGGTGAGCTCTGAGAGCGGCACGGATGGGCGAAAGGGGCCGATGGAGTTGCTTTGGCATGAGCATCGTGTGCCTGGTCCTCGGGCAATTTCGAGCAATAAGCACCTTCGCTGCGCGAGTACAGTAATTAAGCACGTTCAACCACTTTGCACCCGTTTTTCTCCGTCTTGCAACATGCACGTGTGTGCTGCGTGGCAGGCAGGCGCACAGACGGGGTATGCGCTGCTCTGGATTCTCTTCTGGTCCACCGCGCTTGGTCTGCTCCTGCAGGTACAACAGGGATGTAGTGTTGGTCTCGCTGCTGCAAACACAACTGGGATACAGCTTGGCTTTCAGAAGGGGTATATTGTTGACGGGGTATGCACTGCTGTGGATTCTCTTCTGGTCCACTGCGCTTGGTCTGCTCCTGCAGGTGTGTGTGGGGTGGGTGGGCTTGCTGCTGCAGGCGTGTGTGGTGTTCGACGCCATGAGATAATCGAGGAATTCAAAACGAGATTGCCGCTTGGATTTTCTAGGGTCGCATGGAATACTCACCACCTATGCGCTGGGTGCTGTGGGGGTTGACAGAGGTGACCATAGTGGGGGCGGATACCCAGGCTGCCACTCCAACCCCCAACCTCAACCTCCTTTCAATGCGCCCTCTTTCCATCCCTATCCTCATCCCTCCACACAACTCCTCTCCACATCCCCCTTCCACCAACCCACCATCCACCCAGGCCATAGCAGCGCGAGTGGGCGTGGTAACGGGGTGCCATCTGGCAGAGCTGTGCCGAATGGAGTACTCACAGCCCGTGCGCTGGGTGCTGTGGGGCATGACAGAGGTGGCCATAGTGGGCGCGGACATTCAGGAGGTGATTGGCTGCGCCATCGCCCTGCGAATTCTCTCAAGAGGGGCCATTCCCATCTGGGCAGGGGTGCTTATAACGGGGCTCGACAGGTGGGTTGGCGGTTTGGTTCTGGTGAAGCACGTGCATGCTGTGGGGGAGGACGGAGGTCGCCATAGTGGGTGCGGACATCCAGTAGGTGATAGGCTGCGCTATCGCCCTGCGCATCCTCAGTAGAGGCGCCATCCCCATCTGGGCGGGGGTGCTTATAACGGGGCTGGACAGGTGAGGCATGCATGCGGGTCAGGGGCCTGGTTACAGGGCTGGACAGGTGAGCAGCAGGCGAGCAGCATGCGAGCAGCATGCGAGCAGCATGCAAGCAGGCTGGGCTGGGGTGTCATCCCCATCCGGGCGGGTGAGCATGAGTGTGGCCGCGTGGTGTGCTGTTACAGAGCTGGACAGGTGTGGTCGGTCCTCACAGGGAGCAGGATAGTGGGTTGGGTTGGAGAGGCTTGGTTTGCGTCACACCGTTACTGCCGCTTCTCCTCGTCCCTCGTTCTTCCGCCCCCAATACCTCTCCCTGCCTCCCCCCTGCTTCCGCCTCCTCTCCCTGGGAGAACTCTGGCATTCACAAGCTCAGCACGCCGTTCAGTCTCTTCATCACACTCTCGCCATGTCGCTTCAAAGCAATCTCTTGCGCTGCCTTGCATTGCCTTGCAAGCTCGATGCGTAAGTTTCCTCCTTCCTCCCCACCCTCCCACCTCCTCCCCCCTGTCCCCCCCCCCAGTTTCCTCCTACTCTTCCTGGAGAACTTTGGCATTCGCAAGCTGGAGGCACTCTTTGGTCTTTTCATCGCTGTCATGCCAGGCGTCTCAGCCCACGCCTTGCTCTGTCCTGCCTTGCCTTGCTCTGCCTTGCCTTGCCCTGCGTTGCCTTGCCTTCTCCCCAGCTTCCTCCTACTCTTCCTGGAGAACTTTGGCATTCGCAAGCTCGAGGCACTCTTTGGTCTTTTCATCGCTGTCATGGCCGCCTCCTTCGCCCGCATGTTCCTGGAAGCTGCGCCTGACGCGGGAGCCATCGCGCATGGTGGGTAGACCAACAAGCATGCACACGGTTTCATGTAAGTATGTGAATTCATGTCACATGCGCGTTCGCATGCACATGCACACGCACATGCAGATACATATGGACATGCACATGCGTTTGCACATGCGTTTGCGCATGCACATGCACATTCACATGCACGCGCACACGCACGCGAGTGCACACGCACATCAAAGCTGCTTACATTCAAGGCATCTCAACCATCGTCCTCACACCCTCTTGCATACCCAATCACCTCCCTTGCAGGCCTTTTAGCCCCCTCCATCCCTGGGGGCCCACCAGCGTGGCTTTTAGCATAGCATACTAAGCGCGGTCATCATGCCTCTCATGCCCCATCACAACCCCATGCTTTCCCACCCATCCCCATGCAGGCCTCCTCGTCCCCTCCATACCCCCCGGAGCAACGAGCATGGCAGTGAGCATACTAGGCGCAGTCATCATGCCGCACAACATCTTCCTCCACTCCGCGCTCGTGCAATCGCGCGCCATCGACCGCCACTCCCCACCGCGCGTCGCAGAAGCCCTGCTCTACTTCACGCTGGAATCAGCCCTCGCCGTGCTGCTCTCTTTCCTCGTCAACCTCTGTGTCGTCTCCGTCTTTGCGCGCCTCTTCTATGGGCAACCTGGAGCAGCTGATATTGGGCTTGACAACGCTGCTGAGTATTTGCAGGTATGGTGTTACCTGGGGGAGTACTTGTCTGGCCCGCTCGTATCTGGGGGGTACTTACTGTTCCGCAGCTGCTTTCCCTCCGCTGGGTCGTCTCTGTCGTTTCTCGCCTCTTCGATGGGCGACCAGGAGCGCTTGATATCGGGCTGGATAAACACTGCTGAGTATGTACAGGTATGGCTGTGGAGGGGTTTTGGTACGTTCAGAAGGGCTTTTGAGGCATTTGGAACGCCTCATTAAAATTGACGTTTCAAACGTCCGGGCCGCCCCAACAATCTGCTTCTAAACATCAGAGGCATCTCAAATTTCGCCCTGGGGAACGCCCCAACAATATGTATTTGTGATGTCAGACATCCTGGTCCTGGCCTCTCTCCTCACTCTCTATTTCTCTCCCTTTACACCTCCTCTCTCTTCCTCTCTCTCTCCCCTCCACCACCGCAGCAAGCCTTTGACTGGGCTGCTCACCTCTCCCTCCATCTCTCTCCCCTGCTCCTCCTTCCTCCCACGCCAACCCTGCCCTCACAGCAAGCCTTCGGTTCAACAACCTTCCCAGTGGTGTTTATATGGGCGGCAGGGCTGCTAGCAGCAGGCCAGTCATCAACCATGACGGGCACATACACGGGGCAGTTCGTCATGTCGGGCTTCCTCGACCTGCACGTGCGCAAGTGGGTGCGCGTGTGCGTCACCCGCACCGTCGCCATCGTGCCCACCGTCGCCGTCGCTCTGCTCTACACCTCGCCTGCTTCGCATGCACCGCACTCACCACCGCAGCTGTCACCACCCCTGGCAGCACCAGCTGTGCCAGTGGCAGGGGGAGCGGGTACAGTAGAAGGGGCAGCAACCGCCGCAACTGCAGTCACAGCAGCAGAGCGATTGCTGAAAGAAGTGTTCTTTACTCCGTCTCCCTTTCCAAACTCCGCCGTGCCCCCCCCCTTCACCAACACCTCCCTCCCTGCCTCCTCTTTCTCCTCCTCGCCTTTCTCCTCTAACCAATCATCCCTGCAACTTCCGACCTCTCTCCCCACTTCACGCCCTTCCTCACTCGTCTCGCCTTCTCTAACCGCCCCACACATGCTATCACTCTCCTCATTGGACGTGCTAAACCAGTGGCTCAACGTGCTGCAGTCCGTGCAGCTGCCCTTCGCCGTCATCCCCCTCTTAGCAATCGCGTCCTCAACACACGTGATGGGGCGATACGCCATCAGGGGGGCAGTCAAGGTGAGGTGTGAGTTGGAGTGAGTGAGTGCATGTGCGTGTGAGTGTGTGTGCATCAAAGTGCGTGTGAGTGTGGTAAGTGTGCTTCAACGTGCTGCAGTCCGTGCAGCTGCCCTTTGCTGTCATCCCCTGCTGGCCATAGCATCGTCAACCCATGTCATGGGATGATACGCTATAAAGGGGGAATCAAGGTGAGGTGTTAATGAGTGCGTGTGCAAGTGTGAGTGAGTGTGAGTGAGTTTGTCTCGGCTTGCTGCAGTCCGTGCGTGCTGGACAGTGCTGTCATTCCTCTCATGTCAACCCATGGCATGGGGCAATATGCCATCAAGTGGACTGTCAAGTTGAGGTGTGAGTGAGTGAGTGAGAGTGGGTGTGAGTGAGTGAGTGTGAGTGTGGGTGTGAGTGTGGGTGTGAGTCAGTAAGTGTGAGTGTGTTTAAGTGTGAGGTCGGGTTTGAGTGAGTGCGTGTGAGTGAGTGAGTGTGGGTGTGAGTGCGTCAGTATGGGTGTGGAAGTGAGTGTGTCAGTATGAGTGCGTCAGTATGAGTGTGGATGTGAGTGTGCATGAGTGGGGCTCATGTGCCGCAGTCCTTGCAGCTGCCTTTTTCCAGGGCTGCGGCACTTAATCAACGTGCCGCAGCCCCTGCTCGCCATTTTGTTATCGGCCCTTGTCACAGCATGTCAAGGGGCGAGATGCTGTGATAGGGGCCGTCAACGTGGAGTGTGAGCGAGAATGCGAGATTATATGAGTGTGAGCATGTGTGAGTGTGAGTGCGTTTGTGCATGTATGAGTGTGAATGAGTGTGAGCATGTGTGAGAGTGAGTGAGTGTGAGCACGTGTGACCGAGTGTGAGTGTGAGTGCTTGTGTGCATGTGTGAGTGTGAGTGAGTGTGAGTATGTGTGAGTGTGAGTGAGTGTGAGCATGTGTGAGTGTGAGTGAGTGTGCACGCATGAGTGTGAACGAGTGTGAGCATGTGTGAGAGTGAGTATGTGGGATTCCGTGCTGCTGCCATCATCACCATCAGTCTCTATTTCCCTCTTCTCCCCACCACAATCTTTCCTCGCCCCTCTCCTGTCATCACCAACCTCTCCTTCTCCCATCTCCTCCCTTTCCGTGCTCTTCCCCTCCTCCTCTCACCCTTCTTCCCCCCCTCAGGTGCTAGCATGGGCATCAGCAGCCCTGGTAATAACCATCAACCTCTACCTCCTCTTTGACTTCGCCACAACCAACCTCCCTCACTCCCTTTTCACATTCCTCCTCCTCCTCCTCCTCTCCCTGCCCTACCTCCTCTTCCTCATCCACCTCGCCCTACACCCCCGGAGCGAGGGCTCTGAGTTCAACCATCCACACCGCTCCCGAACGCACAGCACCTGCAGTAACGAGCACTGCAGGCTCTCCAGTCCCACTGGGGTTAATCGATTGGATTGTGTAACTTGTTCCGGTTCTCCTGATGCTGCCAGTGCTACTGGTTCTGGGGGTTTTGGTCAAATAAATGAGTGTGTAGGTGGCGCAGTTAGTAGTTGTCTCAACGGCAGCAGCAGCAGCAGCAGCAGAGATTCAATCCTCCCTCTTCTTTCCAGTGGACGTGTGGGGGCGGGAACTGGGCTATGCACGCCTTTGCTGGGGGAGAAGCTGGACGAATAGCTCTCTCCAGTAGGAAAGTGTACAAATGTGGAGCGGGTAACGAGTTGCAAGATATTTTTTTTTTCTTGGTTAGGTATGCACAGTAGTGAACAGTGTATATGTCCAGTACAGGTTTTGACATGCCCTTTGTCTCTGTACCTTTTGCACAAGTGACTGGCAGGTTCCAAGCTTGCACACATGACCCATTCCAGTGGATAGCCCGTGCACAAATTAGGCAAACGATTGACGGCTGCTCACCGCATCATTGCCGTGTCTATCCCACGCAACCAGTCACTGTATCCCCAGTACATGCCTTGTATGCTGTTCCATGGCAAATTCAACTCATGCTTTGTTACTACGGCAGTACCGTATGTGGTGGACCTTGCGCAATTGAAACACATACGGTACTGGCAGGCGTGGGCGGGCGTAAACTGCAACTGTGATGTGGAGTGGACTACAGTACCGTCAACCCCCGTACAAACACCCAGGCTAAGGCTAATGCTTATGTTCCCAGGCAAGTAGGGGCATCTTGCAAGTAGTGCTACTATGTTACAATGAAGCCAGGTACCATGATACCTGGCTAAAAACACACCAGAATGAAAGAATAAAAGAGTATCAACTGCTTCTTCTCCAGAGTTGGCCCATACTGCTTCTCCTTGTCAATCCCGTACTGCTTTCTGTCCACGAGCCTTGCAGCGATCAATTGCAGGAACGGTCAAAGAGCACCCAGGTACCATCTGCTAGCTGCTGCACCCAGTGTGATCCATGATCCATTCACCCAACCACCCAGTGTGTGTGACCCCATGTGATTCTCCCCTTCTGCCTGTCTCCAGCTCTTATACCTCACGGCCGCATCAGCCAGAGCTTTATTTCTCCACAGTCCATGCCCATCTCCACCCCACCTTCTCCCTTCCCAACCCACCCGCACCGCTCTCAAGGAGTACTACTCCATCTCGTATTGTCTTGGATGTGCTTCGTGCCCATTCGCTGCACCAGCGCATATGTGTCAGGCTCCGGTTGGTTGAAATTGCTGTAGTAAAACACGTCCAGCACTCTCCGCGGCCCCACCTTCCCTCTCGAGCAGCTCTTGAACTTGGGCTTCTTGACGACCAATGGGGAGGTCGCAGTCACCGCCAGGTCATCGTTCGCAAAGTTCACAAATCCGAGCGAGTTACCGTCCGTAACGTTTGTCACCTTCCAGTAGTTGAACTTGGCTACAGTGGTGAGGTTCTCACAGTACTTAAACCAAGTATTGCGCTTGTTGTTAATGAGTACGAGGTCGAGGAAATTGTCCGAGGGCAGCCCGCTGCATGAACCGGTTTGGGCGGCGGAGAGAGTGTTGGCGGTGTTGCAGGGGTTGCCGCTGATGGTCTGATCCAGACAGATGTCCTTCATCCACGGCCAGAGCTGGAATTGGGGAAAGCGAGAAAAGCAGCAGGGAGGAAAAAGGTCAATAATCCCGTAGGGTAACTAATGCTCAGAGCCACTAAGGTAGTATCCTTCCACACTTTGCACAACATTCTAAGCCCAAGGATCAGAGCAGAATTATGAAGTGCTTGTAATCAGTGCTCGTTATAAGCACATCTACCGCCCACAACTCACATTGTTCCATAGAGGTGTGTCGTAGTACTTGCGGCGCATGGACTCCCAGTAGGTGCCCGGGCGGATGGCACAGTTGTTGAGTGTGGGCGTCAAGCACGTGAACCACCCCGTCATGCCTGTCACATTCTTCATTATCACATCTTCCACAAAGTTCCTGAAAAGAGGCAAGGAAATTCAAGGAAGTCACCAGAAATGCACAAACGGTAAGTATGTGGGATCGGCTTGTGAACCACCCTGTCATGCCTGACGCGTTCTTCGGTATCACATCCTCTAGAAACTTTCGGCGAGCAACGAGAGGCATTGCCACAGCAGACGAGGGGGGGCAAAGGATAGGTGAATATGTGGGGAGGGGCAGGGGGAGGGAGGGAGGACTTAGTGTAGGAGATGATCTTTAGAGAATGGGATTATGAACGTAACAGGTTCAAGGGTCTCACACTGATAGGATTCGGCTAGAAAGTGCAAACTCACCATTTCCCGTTGTTGACTTTGATGCCGTCATAAGTCCCGATGCACGCACCGCCCCGCACCGTGATTCCCGACGAAACATAATCGAAGTAGTAACAGTGGTCTCCGTTATATATATAGTTGCACTCCGCTACGTTTCCTGGATTGAACCAATGTACACAGTAATAAATCCCCGCCGCGTCCTGATCGCCGCTCATGTTTCGCGCGGTCGCCACAATCAGGTTGTTTGAAATCGTCGACAGCATGCAATCGCCCTGCAGGCTGACGTCAGCGCCGCAGCGAATCCCCGCGAAAAGGTAATCGTGGACGTAATTGTTTCGCACGGTTACCCCCACCGCCCCGCGGTAGATCACGATACCCGTGTGTACACCTGCAGTACCGGAAACGGGTTTTGGGAGAAAGTGATGATTGATTGATTAGTGGTGTTGAACAAGAGGACTCAAGGAGTGAGGCGGATGGAAAGAGTTAAGAGGAAGAAGATGAGAGGGGGGTTGGGAGGGTGAGAGGGGTAGGGTGTGTGTGGGGGGTGGTGGTGGTGTCGAAACCCTGGATGTGTGCTGCGGGGAGGGAGGCGAGGCGGGGAGTCTAGGAGGCGACGTTAGGCGAGGCGAGGGCTCACCGTAAACTTCGTTATTCGTGATAGCGATATACGACGGCTCCAGCGTCGGCCCGTACCCGCAGTACGCCACGCGAATCACGCCGTTATTCAGATCGAAGTCCGAGACGCCCGTCACCTTCATGCTGTCGATGCGCGACACGACGCTGCGGAACACGTCGATGCGCCCGAACAGCGTTCCCTTCACCACCTGCACGTGATGACAGCCGTAGATCGACACCGTCGGGCAGATTATCCCCGCGCCGATGCTCGGAATGTTTGCACACGGGGCGGACGCCGCGGTGTACGGCTGTTGAAAGCTGATCCCGTGCACGAGCACGTTGCTCGTGTTCCAGATGCGCAGCAGCGGCTCGTCGGTGTTCGCGAGCGAGAGCGTCGCGCCGTTGGGCGGCGCGCGCGCGGAGCGCAGGATGGTGCAGGCGTACGAGGCGTTGAAGAGCAGCCCGCGCGTTAAGGCGAGGTCGGATTGGAGCTCCAGGATGACCGTGGATTGCGGGGAGTACTGCAGCCGCAGCGCGAAGTCGTCTTCGGTGAACACGGCGATCTTGACGGCCGTGAGAAGCGGCGAGCAGGGCGGAGGCGACTCGGTGGCGACTGGAGCGGGTGGGGACGGGGAGCGGGGTGGGGAGGGGGGTGGGGATGGTGGGGAAGGGGTTTGAGCGAGGGGGCAAAGTTTAAGTCAGTCGGGGGAAACGATACCGCCGAAGGAATGGAATAATTTGGAGCAATGGGGCGGTGGGAAAGGGGAAACGGAAGAACGAGGGGAAGCTTGGGGAATGGGACGGGCGCGGGTGAAAAGTGATACTGGATTGACTGGGAGTGGTGGGAAGAGTTAT